AGTCTATGTGCAATGTTAGTCTATGTGCAATGTTAGTCTAAGGGCAATGATAGTCTATGTGCAATGTTAGTCTAAGGGCAATGATAGTCTATGTGCAATGTTAGTCTAAGGGCAATGATAGTCTATGTGACAATGTTAGTCTAAGGGCAATGATAGTCTATGTGCAATGTTAGTCTATGTGCAGTGTTAGTCTATGTGCAGTGTTAGTCTATGTGCAATGTTAGTCTATGTGCAGTGTTAGACTATGTGCAGTGTTAGTCTATGTGCAGTGTTAGTCTATGGGCAGTGTTAGTCTATGTGCAGTGTTAGTCTATGTGCAGTGTTAGTCTATGGGCAATGTTAGTCTATGGGCAATGTTAGTCTGTGGGTAATGTTAGTCTATGGGCAATGTTAGTCTATGGGCAGTGTTAGTCTATGGGCAATGTTAGTCTATGTGCAATGTTAGTCTATGGGCAATGTTAGTCTATGGGCAATGTTAGTCTATGGGCAATGTTAGTCTATGGGCAATGTTAGTCTATGGGCAATGTTAGTCTATGGCAATGTTAGTCTATGGCAATGTTAGTCTATGGGCAATGTTAGTCTATGGGCAGTGTTAGTCTATGTCCAGTGTTAGTCTATGGGCAATGTTAGTCTATGGGGAATGTTAGTCTATGGGCAGTGTTAGTCTATGGGCAATGTTAGTCTATGGGCAATGTTAGTCTATGGGCAATGTTAGTCTATGGGCAATGTTAGTCTATGGGCAGTGTTAGTCTATGTGCAATGTTAGTCTATGGACAATGTTAGTCTATGGGGCAATGTTAGTCTATGGGCAATGTTAGTCTATGGGCAGTGTTAGTCTATGGGTAGTGTTAGTCTATGGGTAGTGTTAGTCTATGTGCAATGTTAGTCTATGGGCAATGTTAGTCTATGGGCAGTGTTAGTCTATAGGCAATGTTAGTCTATGGGCAATGTTAGTCTATGGGCAGTGTTAGTCTATGTGTAGTGTTAGTCTATGGGCAGTGTTAGTCTATGGGCAATGTTAGTCTATGGGCAGTGTTAGTCTATGTGCAATGTTAGTCTATGTGCAATGTTAGTCTATGTGCAATGTTAGTCTATGGGCAGTGTTAGTCTATGGGCAATGTTAGTCTATGGGCAGTGTTAGTCTATAGGCAATGTTAGTCTATGGGCAATGTTAGTCTATGGGCAGTGTTAGTCTATGTGTAGTGTTAGTCTATGGGCAGTGTTAGTCTATGGGCAATGTTAGTCTATGTGTAGTGTTAGTCTATGTGCAGTGTTAGTCTATGTGCAATGTTAGTCTATGTGCAATGTTAGTCTATGGGCAGTGTTAGTCTATGGGCAATGTTAGTCTATGGGCAATGTTAGTCTATGGGTAGTGTTAGTCTATGGGCAGTGTTAGTCTATGGGCAATGTGAGTCTATGGGCAATGTTAGTCTATGGGCAATGTTAGTCTATGTGCAATGTTAGTCTATGGGCAATGTTAGTCTATGGGCAATGTTAGTCTATGGGCAATGTTAGTCTATGGGCAGTGTTAGTCTATGTGCAATGTTAGTCTATGGGCAGTGTTAGTCTATGGGCAATTTTAGTCTATGGGCAATGTTAGTCTATGTGCAGTGTTAGTCTATGGGCAGTGTTAGTCTATGGGTAATGTTAGTCTATGTGCAGTGTTAGTCTATGGGCAATGTTAGTCTATGGGCAATGTTAGTCTATGGGCAATGTTAGTCTATGGGCAGTGTTAGTCTATGGGCAGTGTTAGTCTATGGGCAGTGTTAGTCTATGGGCAATGTTAGTCTATGTGCAATGTTAGACTATGGGCAGTGTTAGTCTATGGGCAATGTTAGTCTATGGGCAGTGTTAGTCTATGGGCAATGTTAGTCTATGTGCAATGTTAGTCTATGGGCAATGTTAGTCTATGGGCAATGTTAGTCTATGGGCAATGTTAGTCTATGGGCAGTGTTAGTCTATGGGCAATGTTAGTCTATGGGCAATGTTAGTCTATGTGCAATGTTAGTCTATGGGTAATGTTAGTTTATGGGCAATGTTAGTCTATGTGCAATGTTAGTCTATGGGCAGTGTTAGTCTATGTGCAATGTTAGTCTATGTGCAGTGTTAGTCTATGTGCAGTGTTAGTCTATGGGCAGTGTTAGTCTATGTGCAGTGTTAGACTATGTGCAGTGTTAGTCTATGTGCAATGTTAGTCTATGTGCAGTGTTAGTCTATGGGCAATGTTAGTCTATGGGCAGTGTTAGTCTATGGGCAGTGTTAGTCTATGTGCAGTGTTAGTCTATGGGCAATGTTAGTCTATGGGCAGTGTTAGTCTATGTGCAGTGTTAGTCTATGGGCAATGTTAGTCTATGGGCAATGTTAGTCTATGGGCAGTGTTAGTCTATGTGCAATGTTAGTCTATGGACAATGTTAGTCTATGGGGCAATGTTAGTCTATGGGCAATGTTAGTCTATGGGCAGTGTTAGTCTATGGGTAGTGTTAGTCTATGGGTAGTGTTAGTCTATGTGCAATGTTAGTCTATGGGCAATGTTAGTCTATGGGCAGTGTTAGTCTATAGGCAATGTTAGTCTATGGGCAATGTTAGTCTATGGGCAGTGTTAGTCAATGTGTAGTGTTAGTCTATGGGCAGTGTTAGTCTATGGGCAATGTTAGTCTATGGGCAGTGTTAGTCTATGTGCAATGTTAGTCTATGTGCAATGTTAGTCTATGTGCAATGTTAGTCTATGGGCAGTGTTAGTCTATGGGCAATGTTAGTCTATGGGCAGTGTTAGTCTATAGGCAATGTTAGTCTATGGGCAATGTTAGTCTATGGGCAGTGTTAGTCTATGTGTAGTGTTAGTCTATGGGCAGTGTTAGTCTATGGGCAATGTTAGTCTATGTGTAGTGTTAGTCTATGTGCAGTGTTAGTCTATGTGCAATGTTAGTCTATGTGCAATGTTAGTCTATGGGCAGTGTTAGTCTATGGGCAATGTGAGTCTATGGGCAATGTTAGTCTATGGGTAGTGTTAGTCTATGGGCAGTGTTAGTCTATGGGCAATGTGAGTCTATGGGCAATGTTAGTCTATGGGCAATGTTAGTCTATGTGCAATGTTAGTCTATGGGCAATGTTAGTCTATGGGCAATGTTAGTCTATGGGCAATGTTAGTCTATGGGCAGTGTTAGTCTATGTGCAATGTTAGTCTATGGGCAGTGTTAGTCTATGGGCAATTTTAGTCTATGGGCAATGTTAGTCTATGTGCAGTGTTAGTCTATGGGCAGTGTTAGTCTATGGGTAATGTTAGTCTATGTGCAGTGTTAGTCTATGGGCAATGTTAGTCTATGGGCAATGTTAGTCTATGGGCAATGTTAGTCTATGGGCAGTGTTAGTCTATGGGCAGTGTTAGTCTATGGGCAGTGTTAGTCTATGGGCAATGTTAGTCTATGTGCAATGTTAGTCTATGGGCAGTGTTAGTCTATGGGCAATGTTAGTCTATGGGCAGTGTTAGTCTATGGGCAATGTTAGTCTATGTGCAATGTTAGTCTATGGGCAATGTTAGTCTATGGGCAATGTTAGTCTATGGGCAATGTTAGTCTATGGGCAGTGTTAGTCTATGGGCAATGTTAGTCTATGGGCAATGTTAGTCTATGTGCAATGTTAGTCTATGGGTAATGTTAGTTTATGGGCAATGTTAGTCTATGTGCAATGTTAGTCTATGGGCAGTGTTAGTCTATGTGCAATGTTAGTCTATGTGCAGTGTTAGTCTATGTGCAGTGTTAGTCTATGGGCAGTGTTAGTCTATGTACAGTGTTAGACTATGTGCAGTGTTAGTCTATGTGCAATGTTAGTCTATGTGCAGTGTTAGTCTATGGGCAATGTTAGTCTATGGGCAGTGTTAGTCTATGGGCAGTGTTAGTCTATGTGCAGTGTTAGTCTATGGGCAATGTTAGTCTATGGGCAGTGTTAGTCTATGTGCAGTGTTAGTCTATGGGCAATGTTAGTCTATGTGCAATGTTAGTCTATGTGCAGTGTTAGTCTATGGGCAATGTTAGTCTATGGGCAGTGTTAGTCTATGTGCAGTGTTAGTCTATGTGCAGTGTTAGTCTATGGGCAATGTTAGTCTATGGGCAGTGTTAGTCTGTGGGCAATGTTAGTCTATGGGCAGTGTTAGTCTATGGGCAATGTTAGTCTATGTGCAATGTTAATCTATGGGCAGTGTTAGTCTATGGGCAATGTTAGTCTATGGGCAGTGTTAGTCTATGGGCAATGTTAGTCTATGTGCAATGTTAGTCTATGGGCAATGTTAGTCTATGGGCAATGTTAGTCTATGGGCAATGTTAGTCTATGGGCAGTGTTAGTCTATGGACAGTGTTAGTCTGTGGGCAATGTTAGTCTATGGGCAATGTTAGTCTATGGGCAATGTTAGTCTATGTGCAATGTTAGTCTATGTGCAGTGTTAGTCTGTGGGCAGTGTTAGTCTATGGGCAATGTTAGTCTATGGGCAGTGTTAGTCTATGGGCAGTGTTAGTCTATGGGCAATGTTAGTCTATGGGCAATGTTAGTCTATGGGCAATGTTAGTCTATGGGCAGTGTTAGTCTATGTGCAATGTTAGTCTATGTGCAATGTTAGTCTATGGGCAATGTTAGTCTATGTGCAATGTTAGTCTATGTGCAATGTTAGACTATGGGCAATGTTAGTCTATGGGCAATGTTAGTCTATGGGCAGTGTTAGTCTATGGGCAATGTTAGTCTATGGGTAGTGTTAGTCTATGTGCAATGTTAGTCTGTGGGCAATGTTAGTCTATGGGTAGTGTTAGTCTATGTGCAATGTTAGTCTATGGGCAATGTTAGTCTATGGGTAGTGTTAGTCTATGTGCAGTATTAGTCTATGGGCAGTGTTAGTCTATGTGCAATGTTAGTCTGTGGGCAATGTTAGTCTATGGGCAATGTTAGTCTGTGGGCAATGTTAGTCTATGGGCAATGTTAGTCTATGTACAACGCTTGATGAGAATGACCATACCTTCAGCACACACACTTGTAAGATGACTTTTCTTCAACAGCCAAAGCCAAATGTCCCCCGTGTAGCCTCCAGAGACTGTAGGGGCAAGTGCAGCCACCGGCACTGTGGCACACGCATGAGGGAGGTGGTCTTGGGGCCAGCACCACGCCCGGCCGTCTTTGTCTCCCCCCGGTGGCGATGATCACTTCTGCACACCACACCGAGTACACGCAAGGGACACGCAGGGACACGCGCTGAAACTCTGTGTGTCTGTCTGTCTGTGTCTCTGTCTGTCTGTGTCTCTGTGTGTCTCTGTGTGTCTCTGTCTCTCTGTGTGTCTCTCTCTGTGTCTCTGTGTCTCTCTCTGTCTGTCTGTGTCTCTCTGTCTCTCTCTCTCTCAGTGTCTCTCTCTGTGTCTCTCTCTCTCTGTCTCTCTCTGTCTCTCTCTCAGTGTCTCTCTCTGTCTGTCTGTCTCTCTCGGTGTCTCTCTGTCTCTTTCTTTCTCTCTGACTGTCTGTCTCTGTCTGTCTGTCTCTGTCTCTCTCTGTGTCTCTCTCTGTGTCTCTCTGTCTCTCTCTCTCTCTGTCTCTCTCTGTCTCTCTCTCTCTCTCTCTGTCTCTCTCTGTCTCTCTCTGTCTCTCTCTGTGTCTCTCTGTTTTTCTCTGTGTCTCTGTCTCTCTCTGTCTCTCTCTCTGTCTGTGTATCTGTGTCTCTCTCCTCTCCCGCTGTTGATACAACTCGTGCACATTCCCGGATATGGAACTCGCCCGACTCACCCAGCACGCATCGGAGTCTTCCCCTTTCGAGGTAACAGCCAAACGGAGTCAGGATACCACCGCCTTGCCAAACCAGTCAAACCACACACTCGCCTAACCACCCACCCACACCACACACCCACCCACACCACACACCCACCCACTCACTCTCCCGCCCACTCATTCACTCGCACGCCTACCCACCCCACCCACTCGCTTACCCACTCACTCACTCGCCTACCCAATCACTCACTCGCCTACCGACCCACTCGCCTACCCACCCACCCACTGGCTTACCCACCCACTCACTCGCCTACCCACCCACCCACTCGCCTACCCAGCCACCCACTCGCCTACCCAGCCACCCACTCGCCTACCCACTCACTCACTCGCCTACCCAATCACTCACCTACCCAGTCAATCACCCACTCGCCTACCCACTCACTCACTCGCCTACCCACCCACCCACTCGCCTACCCAGCCACCCACTCGCCTACGCAGCCACCCACTCGCCTACCCAGCCACCCACTCGCCTACCCACCCACTCACTCGCCTACCCAATCACTCACCTACCCAGTCAATCACCCACTCGCCTACCCACCCACTCACTCGCCTACCCACCTACTCGCCTACCCAATCACTCACTCAACTACCCACCCATTCACTCGCCTAGCAACTCACTCACCTACCCACTCACTCACCTACCCACCAACTCACTCGCCTACCCACCCACTCACTCGCCTACCCACCTACTCGCCTACCCAATCACTCACCTACCCACCCACTCACTCGCCTACCCATCCACTCACTCGCCTACCCACCTACTCGCCTACCCAATCACTCACCTACCCAGTCAATCACCCACTCGCCTACCCACCCACCCACTCGCCTACCCACCCACCCACTCGCCTACCCACCCACTCGCCTACCCACCCACCCACTCGCCTACCCACCCACTCACTCGCCTACCCAATCACTCACCTACCCAGTCAATCACCCACTCGCCTACCCACCCACTCACTCGCCTACCCACCCACCCACTCGCCTACCCACCCACCCACTCGCCTACCCACCCACTCACTCGCCTACCCACCCACCCACTCGCCTACCCACCCACCCACTCGCCTACCCACCCACCCACTCGCCTACCCACCCACTCACTCGCCTACCTATCCACTCACTCTCCCGCCCACTCACTCACTCGCACGCCTGCCCACCCTACCCACCCCACCCACTCGCCTACCCAGCCCACCCACCCACTCACCTAGCCACCCACTCACTCGCCTACCCACCCACTCACTCGCCTAGCCACCCATTCATTCGCCTACTCACTCACTCACTCAACTACCCACCCATTCACTCGCCTAGCAACTCACTCACCTACCCACTCACTCACCTACCCACCAACTCACTCGCCTACCCACCCACTCACTCGCCTACCCACTCACTCACTCACATACCCACTCACTCACCTACCCACCAACTCACTCACCTACCAACTCACTCACTCGCCTACCCACCCACTCACTCACTGGACTACCCACCCATTCAGTCGCTTAGCAACTCACTCGCCTACCTACTCACTCACTCACCTACCCACTCACCTACCAACTCACTCGCCTACCCGCCCCCTCACTCGCCTACCCACCCATCCACTCGCTTACCAACTCATTAACCTACCCAATCACTCACTCAACTACCCGCTCGCCTACCCACCCAATCACTCGCCTACCCACTCACTCACCTATCCATCCACTCATTCACCTACCCAACCACTGACTTACCTACCCACTCACTCACCTACCCATCCACTCATTCACCTACCCAACCACTGACTCACCTACCCACTTTCTCACCTACCCATCGACTCATTCACCTACCTAACCACTCACTCACCTACCCACTCACTCACCTACCCATCCATTCATTCACCTACCTACCCACTCACTCACCTACCCATCCATTCATTCACCTACCTACCCACTCTCTCACCTACCCATCCACTCACTCACCTACCCAACCATTCACTCACCTACCCACTCACTCACCTACCCATCCACTCATTCACCTACCTACCCACTCACTCACCTACCCATCCACTCATTCACCTACCTACCCACTCACCTACCCACTCACTCACCTACCCACTCACTCACCTACCCATCCACTCATTCACCTACCTACCCACTCACTCACCTACCCATCCACTCATTCACCTACCCACCCACTCACCTACCCACTCACTCACCTACCCATCCACTCATTCGCCTACCCACCGGTGCCGGATTATCCCTGTGTGGTGACGTTAATATCTTGACTCAAAGCTTTCGTGACTGCAGGAATTCACATTCTTTGGGGAGGGTGGGGAGGGGCTGGGTGGGAGGGGTGGGGCAGGGTGGGGAGGGGAGGGGCTGGTCACCCCGTGGTGCCCTTATAAAACTCAACGTTTCACCTACTCACGCCGGCTTGTGCCCGCCCTCGCAGTCGGGCATATTTGCGGAATACACCACGCGCCGTTGACCCTGCAGGCCATTGACCGAGCAACCCGACGTTCCTACCAGCTCCCTCCGCAGGACAATGTGTTATAGGGTGTTAGGGGGGGGGGGTCAAGGGGTCGTGGGGGGGGGGGCATCGCGGGCGGTTGGGCAGGGGATTAGATCGACGATTGCTTGTGTTGCTTCCGAAACGTCGTGATTTAATTGATTTGTTTTCATTTTAATTTATTTTATTTTTTAACCGTCATCAGGTAGAACAAAATTTGAGAGAGAGACAAAAACACAGACAGACACGCAAGCAGAGAGAGACACACACAGAGACACACACAGAGAGAGAGAGACACACACACACACAGACACACAGAGAGAGAGAGACACACACAGAGACACAGAGAGAGAGAGAGAGACAACACAGAGACACACAGAGAGATACACAACATAGACACAAGCAGAGAGACACACACAGAGACACACAACATAGTAGCAGCCACATCACATGTAGCAGCTACGGGCCCCACACTTTCTAAACGCTTTCAATCTAGCTCTATTACTATAGTACTAGACCGCCTTCAACTTCTACAAACGGCTGTGCGTTTAAGGTTAGTTATTTGTCATATTATCTGGCTGTATAGCAAATCAAAACATCACTTTACTATGCAAGTTAAAAGTGTGTATTTTGATTTAAAGCTTTATAACCCCCAAAAAATCGTATGCTTTGGATCTTTCAATAAATTTCGATTTAAAGCTTTCGTGACTGCAGCGATTCATATTCTTGGTTCTTTCGGTAAAGTCACGTAGAAGGGAAATAATAAAATAATAATATTTTTTCTTATTTTATTATTTCCCTTCTACGTGACTTCATTAAACGTTTTTTTTATTTTAATATTTAAGTTATTTTTTTTTGTTTTTTAGGATCCCTTTATAACATATACGCTACAGGCCCGCAACTAACTTAATCCGGCACTGATAACCACCAACTAACTCACCTACCCACCCACTCACTCACTCACCTACCTACCCACCTACCCACCCACTCACCTACCCACCCACTCATTCACCTACCCACCAACTAACTCACCTACCCACCCACTCACTCACCTACCTACCCACCTACCCACCCACTCACCTACCCACCCACTCATTCACCTACCCACCAACTAACTCACCTACCCACCCACTCACTCACCTACCCACCCACCTACCCACCCACTCACTCACCTACCCACCCACTCACCTACCACCCACTCATTAACCTGGCCCATCCACTCATTCACCTACCCATCCACGCATTCACCTACCTGACCCTCACTCACCTACCCACCCACTCACTCACCTACCCACCCACCCACTCACCTATCCACCCACTCATTCACCTGGCCCATCCACTCATTGACTTATCCATCCACACATTCACTTACCTGACCACTCACTCACCTACCCATCCACTCATTCACCTACCCACCCATTCCTTCACCGACGCACCCACTCATTCACCTACCCATCCACTCACTCACCTACCTAACCATTCATTCACCTACCCATCCACTCATTCACCTACCCATCGACTCATTCACCTACCTAACCACTCACTCACCTACCCACTCACTCACCTACCCACCCACCCACTCTTTCACCTACCCATCCACTCATTCACCTACCTAACCACTCATTCACCTACCCATCCACTCATTCACCTACCTAACCACTCACTCACCCACCCAACCCACTCACTCACCTACCCACCCACTCATTCACCTACACATCCACTCATTCACCTACCCACCCACTCGCCTACCCAACCAACCCACTCTTTCACCTACCCATCCACTCATTCACCTACCTAACCACTCATTCACCTACACATCCACTCATTCACCTACCCACCCACTCATTCACCTACACATCCACTCATTCACCTACCTAACCACTCATTCACCTACACATCCACTCATTCACCTACCCACCCACTCATTCACCTACACATCCACTCATTCACCTACCCATCCACTCATTCACCCACCCAACCCACTCACTCACCTACCCACCCACTCATTCACCTACACATCCACTCATTCACCTACCCACCCACTCGCCTACCCAACCAACCCACTCTTTCACCTACCCACCCACTCATTCACTTACCCACCCACTCATTCACCTACCCACCCACTCGCCTACCCACTCACCCACTCACTCACCTACCCACCCACTCATTCACCTACCCACCCACTCATTCACCTACCCACCCACTCATGCACCTACACATCCACTCATTCACCTACCCACCCACTCGCCTACCCAACCAACCCACTCTTTCACCTACCCATCCACTCATTCACCTACCTAACCACTCATTCACCTACACATCCACTCATTCACCTACCCACCCACTCATTCACCTACACATCCACTCATTCACCTACCTAACCACTCATTCACCTACACATCCACTCATTCACCTACCCACCCACTCATTCACCTACACATCCACTCATTCACCTACCCATCCACTCATTCACCCACCCAACCCACTCACTCACCTACCCACCCACTCATTCACCTACACATCCACTCATTCACCTACCCACCCACATC